ATTTTAAATTGTTCAATCTATGGAATTGCAAAATTAAAAGAGAAATAATTTGCTAGAGAATTGAGTTTGTTTTATTCATTTATGCCTTGGAGCTTTGAATTTTAATGTGAATTATGAAAAACAAAGAAAACTATTAAACTAAATTATTTTCTCGATTTGATTTGGTTCAATAAACATGTTCATTCAAAAGTCTATTTTGATGAACTCATAATATTGTTCATCTTCAAATTTTACAGATTCATGATCTGAAGATTCAGATTGAGTTCGTAAAACAATTATTACATTATGTTGATAGGTTAGGCGGATCGGCAAGTGAAGGAAAATCGCTTGTTGAAATATTTTCATGGCATTGATTTTTTAAATAGGCTTTTTTCGATTCTTTTTTTTCACAAAAATCTGTCATTTCTCGATTTCACCCAAAATTATGAAATTGTTATGTTAGAAAATACTTCTATCCAAGAACTAAACTCATTATCGAACTTTTAGTTACTGAAATGTTGATAGCTACACACATTGTTTACTTGTCAGTCCAAGAAACTTTCTATTCTTGGATAACTAATGATTCAATCCTAAACGGGTTTTGCATTTAATCAAATAAAGTCAGATAAAGTTTCATGATTGGTCAACTATTTCGTTCATTGTTTGACGTTATCAAACTTGCAGCAAGATTGGATCAAGAATGAAAATCGAATCAAACTGTTTATTTTTGGTAAAATCATTAAAAAGAGATGAAAGGTTTGACTTTCTATTTTCGCTCATTCCAATGCGAGATGAAAATGATTCTGAATAAAATGGTCGTTTATGATGTAATAAGATGTAACAAGCTTTTGGAAACATTATCCTTGTTAGTTCAGTTTCCGACTAATCTTTTTATATTTGCTCAACTTGTTTATCTGTTTCATTATGTTCTCATTTTTACCTCTATTCAACCAATTATTGCAATAAAAATGGGACAAAACTTTTGCTTGCCAGATGAGAGTGAAGATAACAAGAAATGACTCCAACTGAACCAACTCATACTTATGTGTATTATTAGCATTTAATGCAAGAAAACGTGGTTTCCCTTTTACTTCATGGTGATATAAGTTATCATTCAAATTATTGTTAGTTCAATGAGTTGTTATAACTAGGTTATTGTGCCTTTGAGTTACCATTTGATAGGTTCAATACATTCAAGGCAAAGGTTGAAAAGCAAGAGTTTGATGAAGATGATTACAAGACTAACTTTTGATACAGACTGACATCAACAGTTTTCAAAATTCATCATGTAAGTTTCATTGGCTTTATGACTTTGCTTGTGGATGTGAGTCAGATCTTACAGATCGAACATTCTCTGGTTCTGATAAAACTGAATAGGATCCCACTCTTACCGACGATACGAAGATTGGGTTTCTTCCTCTGCTTATCCTGAATTTTTTGCTTTCTGCGCCGTTTAGCGCTTTCACAGTCCATTCCCATCTTGGTGGCTTTTCTGGGAACAGAATCTGTCGTTAGCTGAGTTGAGTGCTAATCAAGTTTTTGTCAGATAAAAACCTTCGAAACTCGGATAAAGAAACCCATTCCTCTTAATCCTCTTTAATAATCACCAAAGCTTCTGCCCAAGACTAAAGCATCACTAGCAAGTATTATATAAATGATAACAAGCCTCTCTTGATGTTTCATGTTTTTGAGTCAATCTCATAGACTTTTAGGCGCAAACGAAGTGTAAAGGTTCTTGAAGTTTCATGAAAATTATCATAAAACTTGCCCTCGTGGCAATACAAATCACACACTAAGCCAATGATTCTTGCTTTTTAAATGTTTCTGAATGTGTATCACATATGCATAATACAACATTTAACGTGGAGTTATATCTCGTTACCTTATCTCTTTAACACTTCGATGAATTAAGCAGTAAATCTTGAATTTATTTGTAAAAATTGATCCTTTGATTCTTGGACATCAAAAATGCGAAAAAGATATAAGTAAAAAAATGTAACTCCATTTCAATACTGTATAAACTAAACGGAGGTCATGCAATTGAATTTGATATCAATAAGATTACAAAAGAACACCATTTAAAGTTTTGCTCTAAGCCACCTATGTAAATTATTGGCACTCTTAGTTTGAAATGAATTGGATAAAGAGCGAATTAATCAAAATATAATACCTTTGCAAGTTATTAAATTTTCTATCGACATAAAGCTATGCTAGTGAAACAAGACTTCTATGGTATCGGCTTTCATCTTTTGCAAGTTTCAAATTATTGGTCTCATCAATAGCATTGTTTTGTTTTATCAACTGATTCGCAGCTAACTAACAAATGCTAGGATGAGCTGTTATGCAATGAAATCCATTGATTGCATTGTTTGAACAAAGATTCATTTTACATTTGAGCTCAGTCTGAATGCAAAAAATTGTTTCCGAATCATTAATTCCAGAGTCGAGACTAAATGAAACTTGATTTTCAATGATAAATTGTGACAATTATTTGCTAATAATGACAAAATTGTAAACTTGAATATGATTAATGAACAGTCAGAGGATCATTTAAAGGCGTCGCATTGAATTGAACAGCAACACAATTATCAAGCGATTTTACTTGTTCAGTATTAATTGATCATTTTTTATTGTTCAGTATTCCATCACAATTAATCGGCAAAAGTGATTTATTGATTACATTGATTACTGTTCAAAAGTAAATTGAATTTTTAATGACAAAACTATCTTCCATCATAAACCACAGGCAAATGTAATTGAATAACTTGAGTTGTGAATAAAAACTAAAACTAAAAAGTGTAAAAAACAAAAACTTAATTTCATTTTCTTCAGAATCATTGAAACAATGGAATCGAAATCATAATTCACTCTAATTAAAGTTCAACAAAAGGCTTGAACTAAACAATGTTTTGATTATTAATTTCATTTCATATAATATTGAAAAATAGCAAATTTTTATTAAACTATTCAAATTCAATAGTTAAAGCAGACTAATTACAACCAAACAATCTCAATTCAAATAAGAATCATTAGCAAGCTCAATCAATCCCTTCAATCGAGTGTAACTTTCATCTAAAAACACGAAAATTGATTAATCATATCTTGAATTATATTCTTTGTAAAATGTTTTCAATTGCAGTTACCAAAACTGTTCATTTAACCAAGAATTATTCTGATAATTACCATGCTAAATGGATTAACTAACAGCATAAATTAAAGACAAATTAATAAGATTGATGAAAATGCAAAACTAGAAGATTGTCAAGAAAAGAAGCATTTTCATCTCATTACAGTTACGACCGCAATTCACTGATTTGCAGAAGAGGGAAAACTCTTAAAATCTTACAGTCGAAGTGATTAAAATAACAAATGAGAGTCTGGCGAATTAGTCATTCCTTGATTTGTCACTTTATTTTTGACCATTTTTGTGGCACTTTTGTTGGTCAATTAGCAAACAGAAACTTCAATTAACTTAATGCAATAAATTGCCTATGAAAATGGATGTAATAAGCAGCTTTTGTTTTCATCATTTTTTTCTGAAGTTTCATCAAGTTTTTGATCAACAATAAATGCTACTCTATCTTACAGGGTAAATATTGCCTCTAGGTTGATGATGATTGTTGAAGTGACCAATTGAATGACAGGTAAAGAATGAAAAGACAAAAGTTGCTATTCTTTTACTTGACCATCATTGGTATTGCCATCGAGTAAACAAGAAGTGCATTGTCAACCAGAACTAAATTTACAATCTCAACAATTTTACCAATAAAAAGTTGTCATTAAACAGCAAAACTAATAACATGAAGGACAAAGAGAAGTCCGATATTCTCGAATCATGCTGATAGATCAATGAGACTTGAGAGATTTTCAATTCAGTTCTGAATCTCATTCCTTTGTATCTCGATCAAGCTTGCAATTTTAACCTCAATCTTACAATTTCATAATGTTGATACAGTAACATGAAACCTAAAATTTTTAGCTTCGATTAAAGAAATTATTCCAATGAATTGAATGTTCAATTTCAGAGCTTTTAGCATATTAAAAGTGTAAGCTTAAACGCCAAGTGTAATAACATTAAACTTACAAATGATCAATCAATTGAAGGGCAAATTGAATTGTTTATAAATTTATTGCTCGATATTCAACAAATTGAATAGTCAACTATTAGGTAAACTCGTGTTTATTGGTATTATTTTACCTCTTATTACACTTTTATTATTATCTCAATTACTTTTAACTCCCAGGTTTATGATATTTAGCTAATGGGGTTAACGTTTAGTAAAATGGGAAAAGGTTTAATTTGAAAAGAGCAACAGAAATGAGGAAAAATGTATTTTTGTTGAGCATTGTTTTCGGGTTCATTTTGCCAATTGCAAACTAATTTTATGCTTTACCAATGATGAATAATTTAACTTGATTATCATGAAATTGAACAGAAAAACAAAAATTGAAAACTCAACATTTCCAATTCAACTTGAATTTTTATCATTTTTTGTTTGCAGTCTTTGCTTTTTACTTGCTTTCAAATCTTTTGTCTTATGAAAGTGAATTGAAGAGGTTTAATCAAATGGTACAAGTAGGTGAATGAGGTTAATGGAAATGGAAAGGATGATGATGATGATCAAGTTAATGCATTGAGTTGACTTGGCAACAATAATAATGATAATGAAATGATAACCAAAAAATATTGTAACAACAAGATGAGGTTTACAGATGAGTGAAACATGAAGTCTTGTTAAGTTGATATTCAATGATATCATTTAGACTTGGATTAGTTTATACTAACGGAAATATACTTTCAGAATATTGAACCTTAAATCCGGGAAAAGTAAACTCCCAGTTCACTCCAAGTCTTATATTGCATAGTTTGATATAATGATGAAAGTTTCTTCGTTTTTATTCCTCTAATCATTAGATATAAAAGTTAAAAATTAAATTAACTCTAACATTGTCTACAGAAAAGCTTTGATTTGTTTTCATTTTAGTCGCTTTACAAGTTGTAATCTATGGAATTGCTGATTACGATTTACAACTGAATCAGTCGAGGAGATTTTCTCATGATAATCTGTTTGTTTAATTTCCCCATTTACAGTATTTTTTTCTTGTCCTTCACAGCAGTTGTATTAGTACATTTATTATCGTTTTGGTGAATAGTTTTGTTGGAAGGAAATGGTACAAGGGAAGGAATTTGGCTGATAAGTTTATTTATGTCTACTTATTGTCAAACTGTACACTGTAATTATTTACAAATGACTACTTGCTGAATTAGCTTCGAGAAGAGACATTGTTGATCGGAAGTTGAACACTTTAAATAGCGGGATTAATCAACTTCATTTAGACTTTACGACAGACTGTTTTCAAACAAATGCCATGACACTTTTGCATTTCAAAGTACAGACATTGAATATTCTTCAATGTCAATAATGTGTAAAATCAAGCTTTTCGATTTACATTTATCACAAGCATGAATAGACTTGAACTCATTTTGAATCTTCTCTGGTAGTATAGTGATTAGCATCTCTGGTTATGATTATGACTCGATTATGGGTTGATAAGCTTTGAAAACTCCAGGTTTTCCAAATATGCAAAGTTGATGGAATTTATCTCGATTGTAATTAACTGCATTGTTGACCTTTGGATATAACAAAGTGTTAGTTAATTAGCAATAACAAACTAAAGAGCCTACTCACCTTGAGGCAATTATTGAAATTGTAGTCTAATTGACTGGTTGAATTAATTTGTTCCACTTTTCCTTCCTTTCCAATTGATTAACTCTTTACCAAAACATTTCGAGTTTACAATTGCACAGTTTACATACTACTAAATAGTTAAAAATATTAGTTACCTTTGCTCGAAGGCAGTTAATAATTGAATATTGTTGCATGTAATACAATGTAAAGAAAAAAGGTTAAAGTATAACATGTTTAACTAAAAATAAATATACCGTTTACATGTAAAACAATTGCATGAAAATGTTTGATCACATAACAATAAATCTCAGGTATTAATCATCTTTAACCCCTCAGTTGAACATGAAAAAACTGTACAAGTTATGATTTTCAAAAGATTAAAGGCTTTGTCAAATTATTACAAATGTACATTGGTAACATAACATTGGTTATTTGAAAAAAAGGTTCAAATTTGAGCAAAAAATATGCGTTTACCGATAAATATTGTTTAAACATCAAATATATCAACTACAAGAGTAACAAAGTGTTACAAGATGATATCATTTGAAATGACATTGTTATTTATGTTGTAAAAACAAGTGAACCAGAAAAAACCAGAAAATAATAGCCAGTCCAGTTGGGTTCCAAGCTTCTTCAAGTGTCTTTTGGTCTCTTTTTTGGCACTAATTTTGATGTTTCATTTTGTTCCATAGGCATTCATATTTCACATTAAAAGGCATCCTCGATACCCGGAATTTGCACAATGCCTTTCTTCCGGTTATTTTGATGCTGAATGGAAAGAAAAAGTGTATCAAATATTTACTCTCTGTATAATGTACTTTGTGCCTTTTTTTGTAACATTATTCTGCTACATTCGTATCATTGCAGCTCTCAGTTCACAAAGAGAGTTAAGTAAGTAATAAGCTAACAATAAATTTTCTTACCTTTTTTAATATTCTGAATACAAATTCAGTCCTTTTTCCCCTTTTCCTTTCGTTGAATCCTTTTCACTTGAAGCACATAAACAGCCATTAGCATGAAATTAATTTTTTTACCTTCATATTTTTGGTAATGAATGAATGGTTAAGCGAGAAAAAGTTTGATGTAATGACTAAATACCAGCTTTACCAGACTTTGTTTGCTTACAACCAGAATCTTTCTGCTACTAGACAGGGTTACAAAATAAATTGTATCGAGTGAAAATCAGATCCAAGATAAATCTCAATATTCAACTTACCTGTAAACAGGCTTACCGACAATTGTCTCTGAGAGGATTGAAAAATGAGCCAAAAACTGACATTAAAAAGGTGTAATCACATTTTTACAAAACACAAAAATCGTTAAAAGTCACTGTTGAATCAAAGCTCTTACCTTTTGGGTTGTCAGACGTTTTCATTTGAAAAATTTAGATGTTACTGTCTAACCGTTTCTTAAAACTGGAATAATAACATTTATTAAAAATGAAGATCTTAAAGTTGATAAAATAAGAGACAAGATGGCGGGTATAATCTTTGCTGTTAACCCTTAATCACACTTCACTTTGGCGCTCAAAGAGTAAAGTAACCTTACTCTTTGTTGGCGCTGCTTTCTTTATTTTATAGCAAATGATATTTTCTGGTTCTGTTAGGTTATATTGTATTGTTTTGTTATTTGTGATTGATTTTTTTGGTTAACCATGATATTTATTTCCTTTTACCGCAGATTAAGGCATTTATTTTAATGTACTTTTGTCTGCTTCATGAGTTTCATAAATTAATTTGTTTCCTTTTTATGTCTTATTTGGTGTACAGATATTACAATGGAAATGGTTTCAGATGTTTCAAGACCAACAAATGATGGTGAACAACGAATCAATGTTTATCAACGAGCTGAGAGACGGACTCTTAGGATGACTTCAATTGTAGCTTTGGCCTTTGTTTGCTGTTGGACTCCTTATACTTATGTAGTCCTTTGGTTTCAATTTAATCCAGATTCTTACCAATCAACTAATATATTGATCATGGATGTTTTATTTTGCTTTGCGGTTCTCAATTCTGTGATAAACCCATGTGTTTATAGTTCCCATCTTTTTACCAAAAGGCGAAATAAAACCAGTAATAACTCTGCTTTAAACAATTTAAACAATAACAATAGTATCAAGCTTAATGGAAGTAACGTTATTAGAGGAAATAATATCTCTAAACTTGCAACTCGTGAAACATTTTTCTAGCCTCTGTTGACTACCTACCTTGGACCTGTAATTACCTGATTGGACCCGTTGATACTCAACACTTGGTGATAAGCTACTTGATCAATTGCAATTTTCAATACTATTTAAACTTCGCATTTACTAAATGGGTTTGCACTAATGCTCAACAAGATAATTATAAATATAATTATTAACAGTTATTATGCTATGTATAGATTAATTTACTGAGAAAATTTTAATCGCTAATTGATTGAAGATTGTTTTTATTAATGCATTTGTATCCATTATTAAAATGGTAACTTGTTTCCTCTTTTTCTTCCCGATGATGTTTATATTATTAACAAAATGAAATTAACGAAACGTTAAATTGACATTAAAAAAGCTAATTGAAACTGATTAATGAAAAATGTTGGTTTTGATTGAATATCATTTAATAATTAGTAGATATGAATCAGTTAATGATGGACTGTTGGCAAAAATCAAATGTATTTTTAGCAACATTTCATTTTATGATTAATGATATCGAGTTAACAGTTGTTAACAGGAATTGACTTTTGTCAAGTAAACCCAAATTGATTTAGATTGATTATAAAGCAAACCTTTTCCAATTCTGGATAATTTCTGGTCAATTTTTCTGGTGAATTTGCTTCAACATTTCCATGATTATTTGGTTTTACTTTAATCATTCGCTTTCCACATTCCAATCAAAACTTTAATTTACTATTGACTTTTGTTATTTGAAATTTAATTCAAAATATTCCTGATTGAAGGTGAAAAAAGCAAGGAAAACAATGAACAAAGTCAGGCAAAAACTCTGAAGATTAAAAATAAAGGATGATGTCCATTGAAATTGATGGTTCTCGTCTTAGAGAAGATGATGACCATGAGTGAAATGAGAAAAATGTGAGTTTCTAATTGAGAAGTATCAAAAGATGAATGAATGTTAAGATTGAGAGGCAAAATAAGAGAAGAGCGAGATTTGGTTTTTACTATTTCTTGCAATTCTGTTTGCTTCTTCATTTATACTTGATTACTTTCTTCACAAACAAAACTGATTCCTCCTTTACTTCATCAGTTGGATCATGATTACCCTCATCAGAATCAAATTTTTCGTACTAAATGAGTTTTAACGTTGAACTGTTATTTTCATCTTGAAATAATCACCAGCAATCTTAGAAGAGGTTAAGAGAGGACACACATCACGCGGAATCTTTGCTCTGTTGATATTTTATTTTCATTATAATTTCCACCAGTTGAAACTCGACTCTGTTTACTCTTCAAATTAGCATAATTAGAGAGCTTGTGTGCACAGAAAATTGATGAAATATTCTCGATTATTCAACAATTAATGCAAAAATTGTAAACACAAAAAAAGTAAAAGTTAATTACCGCATTCTTTCCACTTGTAACTTTGGATCTTTAAGATCTCTTAGCTTTTCTGGTTGCCATCAATTTTTTGTTCAAACTGGGTTTGGATCAAAATAATTCAAAATAAGTCAAGGCACTAATTTAATTTAACCTTTGTTTAGCTCGCAAAAGCTTTAATTAAATTGTTTAATTAATCAATTATTCAACATTTTACTTCTGTTTCGTTGAACTATTGTTGTTTAAGTTCATCGATATAAATTTCGATAGTATCGACCATTGGTAAGATTACAGCTGTGAGTAATTGTAATGCCGATTTTTTATGCTATTTCAAAAGGTGTTTTTTGATCAACTTCTTGTTATTTGTGTTTCGTTATTGTCGTTGTTTTTTGCAAAAAATTATGCCACTTGACGTTTGTAATCGATGGACTCACCTGCGAAAAATTTTAGGAAGGAATGGACCTTTTTGTCAAAGTGACTATGAAGCTGGATCAGAGGCTTTAAAATTTGTTCTCGAGGAATGTAAGATCTTAATTGTTGGCTGTGGTGGCCTAGGATGTGAACTGTTGAAAGATTTGGCTCTAATGGGTTTCATGAACATCTCCATTATTGATATGGACACCATTGATTTATCCAATTTGAATAGACAGTTTTTATTCCGAGAAAAAGACATTGGATGCTCCAAGTCAGAAACGGCTGCCAAAGTAATTAACGAACGGATTCCTGGTGTTAAGGTCAAGCCATATTTTTGTAAAATTCAAGATCTTGATACCGACTTCTATCGAAATTTTCATGTCATTGTTTTGGGTCTTGATTCAATTGTGGCTCGGCGATGGATAAATGGCATGGTTTGTAGCCTTTTGAATTATGATGACGGAATTTTAGGTACGTTGTGTCAGTTTTATTGTAATAATAGTTCTTGGAATTTAGATTAATAACTTATCTATTATAATTTATGGGCAAAATTTACTAATTTTTATCTTCCTTTTAGATCAAAGTTCTATTATACCCCTTGTTGATGGAGGATCTGAAGGATTCAAAGGAAATGCTCGAGTAATAATCCCTGGAATGACAGCCTGCATCGAATGTACTCTTGATTTGTTCCCTCCGCAAATTAATTATCCCTTGTGTACTATTGCTAATACTCCAAGGCTTCCTGAACATTGCATTGAGTATGTACGAGTTTTGTTGTGGAATCGCGAAAAGCCATTCGGCGATGTAGCTATTGATGGTGATGATGCAAGCCATATTCAATGGATTTACGAAAAATCTGCTGAAAGAGCTTCACAGTTTAATATTAATGGTGTTACTTATCGGTTAACTCAAGGAGTTGTTAAACGAATCATACCTGCTGTTGCCTCAACTAATGCGATTATTGCTGCTGTTTGTTCCACCGAAGTTTTCAAAATAACAACCAGTTGTTGTACAGCAATGAATAATTACATGGTTTTCAACGATGTAGATAGTATTTACACTTATACTTATGAAGCAGAACGAAATCCCAATTGTCTTGCATGCAGTCGAGTTCCACAAGAGTTGAACTTATCACTGGAATCACAACTACAAGAGATTATTGACCTACTTGTCAACGATGAAAAATATGCTATGAAATCTCCTGGTCTAACAACCATGATTAACGGCAAGAATCGTACTTTATATATGCAATCAGTTGCCTCGATAGAAGAGAAAACTCGTGTAAATTTAAAAAAATCTCTAAGAGAACTCAATTTGTCCTCAGGTCAGGAAATAATTGTGGCTGATGTTACTCGTCCAAATACATCAATTTTCGTACTCAAACCGCCTTCAGCTAGCAATGATCCACAATCAGTGTCAGCATCATCATCATCGTCGTCTTAAAAATTGTGATTATTTGTAACTTCTGTTTTTTCCAAGCTTCATTCTTGAAGTATACGCCTTTCTCTGTATGTAAAGAAGACCCTATCAATATAATTGAACTGAATATATTTTTAAATCACAGTTAGTCTTTTTACTTCTAACACCAAAAGCTAACATTACTATACTTTAACAGACCGAGTCAAATAAAGTGATCTAAATGATGAAAAAAAAGAGTTGACAGAATCTATTTAGTATAAATTAATAATAAATTTTAATTACACTTTTTGTTTTCATATCGCAGCATCTTTCCACGTTAAATTTCACTTGGCTTTGTTTCTATAGACAAATTGAGTTGATTGGTTTTTCCTTAATATCAGAATGTATTCAGTAATAATGACCAATTTGAAGGATCTCTCATGCATCAACTTGTAATTGACAATTGGCTAATTTACAATGTAAACACACAAATATATATATTTTTTTTCTTTTCATATTTATATATATATGTAAATATGTATACTTATATAATATAATATTAATAGCAATAATTTGTTTCCTTGTTTTCTATTACAATAATAACGTTATTTCTCTCTTTTGTTTCATAATATCACTTGGACAATCTTTTGTAATCACCATGATATGATTGATCTTCCATAAGATTGGCCACTTTGTGTATGAGTTCATTATTCATTGATTCCAGACGATAGCATCGTTCTTGAAGATCTTGAATATAGTCAACCAACTCTTTGTTTTGAAACAATTCATAAATACTTCTGTAAATTAAAGGAAACAAAAATATAGATTAGACAGATGAAGATGATCATAATGATGTGATGGCAATGGAAAAGAAAAGAATATAAAAGTGAAAAAAAGACAAAAGAGCGTGATTGTGAATTGGAATGATTGATAATGCATGTTAGAAATGACGTTGAACACGATGAAATTGTAAAGGAAACAAAAAGGTTGTTAAAAAAGGAAAACGAAATCAGCGAAATAACAATATTAATTTGTTGACCTGCCAATTCAGTGATTTATGTCAGATGATTAGATCTGATATTGATAATGGTAATGACCATGATGAGTGAGGTTTAGTCAATCTGTCAGAGTTTGTTACTCAATGTCAGGCTTGATCTGTCAAGCATGGTTTAAATAAACTACTACAATTTAATGAAATATTTCCTTGGTAATCAGGTGAAAAAATGGTGATAAAGTGAAAGTTGAACAAAAAAGAAATGCATTTCAACCTAAGCTTTAACAATATTACTGATTAATGCAAAAATAAGATTTAAATTAGTGACATTAAACCAAATTAATTTCCTGTTAAAGGAAATTGTAGTGGATTTGGAGATTGAAAAGCAAGATGAAGATATGGTAACAGTAAAGCTCAGAAGATATGATAATAGAAAGGACTGAAAAGACTGTAACCTTGGCATTGAATTGATTCTTTTCTCCAACGATAGATGCTAGAGTCGAGTAATCGATCAAAATAATCAAGATAAATCATGTTTCGTATGGCAAACCTAGAATAAAGATGGTGAAGAATGGATTATATCGAAAGTTGATTTCTTTAGTGAAAGAACTGTAATAATCAGAAAACTGCAAAAACAGAGCTTAACCAATCAAGTCTGATGTTAAGATATATTTTCATCATTTAAACCTGAAGGTTTGAAACGATATTAATGTAAAGACAATGAAGGGATGAAACAGTAGAGCAATCAAAGAGGGAAGAGAACAAGTGATTCTTGAAAATATTATACTGACATTTTAAAGTAAGGGTAATAATTAAAAATAAGGCAAGTTTGCATGCAATCAATCGATTTAAAAAGAAATATTATGTATCGTTTCAAATTACAAGAGTAACACGTTTGGTTATTAATAAATCAATTCATTATTTATATTGTATCAGATCGATTAACTAATAGAAATCAATGAATTTTTTGTTTCACTTGCTTTTTCCACTCTCATTGACTTGTCATCATTATTTAAAACATGCATAATCAACAAGAGATCAAGTTAATTGTATTGAAGGCATTCTTGGTTCAAGTAAGAAACTGGGGTAATTGGGTTGGATTGGGTTAGATGGTGATGATGGTGATGAGACTAAATAGTGTTGATCAAATTTACCAATTACCTTGGCATTTGAACAGGTTTAGGTGGATGATATTTAGCTTTTAAAATTTCCAACCATCTATTGCTTTCTTTGGTTGTTGTTTCCTTGATTGTTGTTGAATGATCAAATTTTTTGTAAACAGTGAATGCCCCTTTCTTGTCTACTCCTGGAGGTAAATTGGTCAGCCCTGGATAAGAAGTGGATAAAAAGAAATGATTAGAAGTTTTGATAATCTGAAGCATGATGGAAATGGGTAAAATTCAATTTTTAAGATGGATGGTGATCAAGATAATGTTAGTATAGTGAAAGTAGCATGAAGGCAAGGAAACCGAGATAATTGGATTTGAACAATAAACCAAGATAATAATGAATTGTGGTGAAAATTGGAAATTAAATTGTTGGCAGGATAACATTTATCACACCATATTTACATAACTGACAAGTAATTGAGCTTCCTAGTGAACAAATAGCATGGCGAATAACTAACTGAAGAGTAACTAAAGAACAGATTCGATGAAATAGAGATCTTTACGGTTTCTACCAACAATGATACTTAATGCGTTTAAATACAAATTAAACTACTAATAAGAAATAACTTGCTAATGGTAATCATTTGAAAGAAATTTAACACTATTCTATCCTTCAGTATTCAACTCTGATGTAATGATTAAGCAAAAGAAATGTTATGTTAGATTAATTGGGACAAATATTGATAAGGAGTAATTGCATGCATCATAAAGTACGTTATAAATCAGAAAACGGTAAAATCTAAATTGAAAAATCAATTTGTTTGTTCAATTTAAAGCATAATCAACTGTTATGTAAACAAGCTGGATATCTTTCATCGGATTAAGTTTCACTGTTAATCCATAATATGAAGAGTTGTAAATGGTATAGTAATTGTGATAAATTATGATCAACTGGTGATCAAGATTGATAAGTTAAAACCGATCTCTAGTTTTATAACGCACTGTTTGATTATAACGCAATGCATTGTTTCAAAGAAAACACCAACCAAGAGCATTGTTAGAAGATAAATTGGAGGAACAATTAGGAATTAATTTACGGCCTTGATTGGCACAGGCAGAGGGTAAACTTTTCTCCAAGCAATTGAGATCAAGTGATGAGCTGCGAGCATGTCCAGGTCTACGGTGAGGTCGAGGTGGCGGAGGAGGTGCAAGGAGGAGATCCTTTTTACCGGTTGACGGTTGGAATGATTGACTTGTTGTTTGGATCGAGCTGTTAAGAATTATTATTAGAAAGAAGAGAAGAGAAAAAAGAGGAAAAGAAAACAAGAATGAGAATAAGGTCAATATAAATAGTTACATAATGGTTTAAATATTATTCAAAACACTCAACTTACAAATGTCATGAAAGAAAAGCAAAAGACATGCAAACAGTTGTTTATCGTTTTGTCAGTTGATTAAAGTACATGAAAAATTGAGGAAACAAAGCCTAGTTATAAGTTAATAGTGATTAGCGTGTTTGAGAGAGAGAGAGAGTGTTTTTATGTTAATAGATTAATATATGAGGACAGATATTGATGATTTTGATCAAAAATCAATCAACTCAAACAATTAATAATTCAGCAAAGTTAAACATGAGTGAAACAATAATTGTAACTCTTGCTTTTTTCTTTCAATTTACAAACCAATCGAGCAAAACGGAAAACTCTCATTGTTGCTGAAAATCAAGATTACCTGGTTGAAGATTCTTGTTGAGCTAAATGAGATGTTGATGAAGGAAGGCTTTTGAGAAATATTGATGATGCTGGTCCACAGTTATTAATCATTCCACCACCGTTACCAGTGCGACTATTGGAGCCATTGTTGTTACCAGAACACATGCCACTGCTACTGTCATTACTATTACTGCTACTACTGCCACTACTACTGTTATTACCGGGTACTGATGAGGAGCCGCCATTATTGGAATCATATGTAACCAATTGGCCATCGGGTGAAACTCTAAGGGCAACTGGGTGTAAAATTTTGGGATTTTTTTCAATCGAAGCAGCATTAAAATCAAAATTGGCCAACTTTATACCATTGGGAATATTGTTAAGATTATCATTAGGTGAAAAATTATCTGACAGTGAAGGTGACAAGGATGACACTTTGGATTGTCGATGGTAGGGTTGTTGTTGTTGTACCTGGACCGTTTGGTAAAGTTGATTGTACTGTTGATTGGCTTGTGGGCTCTCTGATGGTGTAGGTGAATCATTGAATCTAATCCATGGCTGAGGAGGTGACGAGACAACCCCTTTAGCTGCAGGAACACCAAACATTGTACCTGATTCTCGCACAGATAACTTAAGTTATTATCCTTTAAGCTGCCTGCATTGAGAAGATACAATTGACTCTTCCACTTGGTTAGAATCACAGTAATTATTAAATAACTGATATAATAACACAATAACAATCACAATCTATATCAACCTCTTACATTATTGTCTGTTTATTATTTTCATACACAAGAGCAGCATACATGCAGAAAAAAACAGATAGACAGAGATTAAGAGAGAGAGAAAAAAATAGAGAGACAGAAAATCAGACGACAGTAAAAAGAGAGACAAGACGTTTAATGGGTAATCAGAAGATGGCAGCATTTATTTCTAACCAAAAATAAAGCTCAATTGTTACGCTACAAAATTCAAATGATTAAACCATCAGTTGATCGACGTTTAATTTTATCAACTGTCAATGAATTGTCAACCGAAGACCATCGTGAAGGAGGCCAAATAATGTAGGAAACAGTGCCTTTCGCCAAACCAATAGGAACCTTTGGAAATGTGTAAAAGTCAATAAAATGTATTCAAAAGACATCAACATTAAAAAAGGTAAGTTAATGATTATTCATACCGGACCAAAATGATTACTATCATTGCTCCTTTGACTATTATCACCTTCAATCCAACAATGTCCGCTGGGTATTTGAATAATGTCATCTTCATACAAATTTCTTGGCCTGGAAAAGGTAAATGATGGTAAAATGAGCAAATAAAAATGTTGATCAACCCAAAACCAAGGATTCCAATTATTTTGTACAACTGATGCTTCATATTGATTTGTAATTGAGATTACTATTGAATTAGGGGTTCAAGTAAAATTGGATATAAAATGAGTTTAACCAAAAACATGTAAACTAACGACTATCCAACTAAATGAAAATACAAATCTCTTGGAAAATTAATAAAAATAGAAATTGCAATTTACTATTTGTAAATGATTGTTTACATGGATAATGCATATAAATAAAGTCATTATTGTAAATATTGTTCACAATACAAGATGAACTTCAATAGATGATAAACATTTCAAGTTAAATATGTAATTAAATTAAATGCTTCCAATTGAACGTAAATTGTACGACAAAAAGTCACTCGATTTACATTTAAAATCATCAAAATGTAAATCAAGAAACCAGACTTATTCTTAACATTTTATTATCTCATGAAATTAAATACAAGCAATTGTGATAATCAATAAGATCGAGTTAAATAGCAGACTCAAGGAAATGTAATAAATAAAGTTGATTGTTGATCAATCGTAATTGGATTCAGAAATCTGTTAACGAATGTGTTTCTTTGAGTTTAACCCAAAATTTTGATAAAACCAGAAAGCTTTTGGGTGGTCAGAGTCAAAGATTCAGCTGTTGTTTTATGGAGATGAAAAGCTGTATTTAGGTTGAAATTGAAGATTGAAGGCGAAGAAAATGATTGAACCATTCTTGAACTAAATGTCGATGTAATCGGTGAAGGAATTTAAGATTTTTAGTTTATATTGGAAGGTAATTCAATATGAGTTATAGACAGTTAATGGTCAAAGCGACTCTTGATGAAGGTAAAGACTCGAGTCAATTGTACAATTACTTTGGGTCGAATCCGTCAGTAGATGAAACGACTTTATCACAAGTTATCATTCTTTAATTGAACGATTTAAGAGTCGTTTAAATGAAATAAAGTTGGCAAATGATATTAACCTGAACAAAGCTGAATGAACAATTTGAGGCTGATAAAAAAGGAAATGTTTAATAGTGATTGAAGCAATGAAATGAGCAGCTAAAGTTTATTGAAACTTTTTCTTGTTGAGAAAAAAAATGTGAAACAGAGGAAAGTCTGAAAGTTACATGATGTAAGGTAACATTGAGTGACATTGAGGATTGAATTGAACGGATAAATATACATCAATCTTGACTCAAATGAAACTAACCTGGAAAAGTGTTTACAGAAAGAAAGAAATATAAGAAAAAGAAGAAGAAAAAAGTAAGAAAAGGAAAATACGAAAAGAAATTTCATGTCAAAATCAGTTTTTCTCATTTTCCTTTTACTTATTTTATTTCATTTTATCTACATTTTATTTTATTATTTTCCACACTCATCATTATCATCCCTCCCAGTTTACACCAATAACTAACAGTAATCTGGAAAATCATTGATACTTTTGTCAGATGAAATGTGAACCTTTTCCTTGTGATAAACTTAATGCCTTTTGATGGTTTCCATGTTGGCCTTAGTTGAACGGAAAACGTTCATTTTTATTACTTCTGTGAACTTGAAATTCATTTTCTAAGTTAAACTTTTGATTGAAATGAATATCTGATTGAAAGATTTGAAATCAATTTCATTTTGTCAAAGCTTCTCAAAAGCTTCACGGCAAGTCAACATTTCAAAAAGCATTGATTGACATCGAAAAGCACAAAACTTTCAATCGACACTCAACTTGTGAATCTGAGTTTCAAGTGAATAATGAAAGATGGCAAAATGCTGAGATGTTTCAATCTCAATTAATAGACTAAGATGTTCAATTAAGATGCATTAATTAAGCCTCTAATGAAAGGAAATGCAAATTTTTTGTCAAAAGTATCATTAAAGTGATTAATTGATTGTGTAAAGTTTAATTAAGAAACGGTATTTTGTGCTGAGTGAAGAGTCGACTTATGAATAAAAACTGTTCTAATGAACTGTTAGAGAAAAAAAATCTTTTGTTCATCTCATGAATTTTGATTTTTTCATCAATTCCAAGACTTTCCTCTTAATCACCTTTGATTGCCTCAATAAGGTTCCATTAATTTGCAAAAGTTGCAAACGCCAAAATTGTTGGCAAAAAGAACACTCGATAAGATGAATCGACATTGAAATGAACAAATTTGCTCAACATTTTCTATTCAATCCCTGAATCTGATAAGTTTTATTCAAAGTTTTTTTCACTCTTTTTCTGTTCATTCCAGGCTTGAAATTTTCTTTACTATTCTCATACTTATTCATGATAGAGTTGAGGTGAGAAACTCATCACTTATTTAAACTTTTATTTGTTACCTTTTCTCAGGTTTTCATATCTTTGATACAAGTTTTGATGAATATTATGTATTGTAAAATGTAGCCAAATGTGAGGTTCAAATGTTTTATAAATATTTATGGCCAAAGAAAACTTTCAATTCATGAAAATTGGAACAAAACTTTTCTTCTCTTTTTTTCTCTTTTCTTGGTAAAGAGTTTCCTGATGACAGGTAATGAAAGATTCAAGATGATGTTTGCAATTACATGTTCTGTATCGACAAAAGTTATCCCATCATGAAGGCAAAGTTGAATCAATCAAGTATCTTATTCTCACAAGAATCCAAGTTGAATGAAACAACAATCAACATGATAAAAAAGAGTCGAAACCACAGAATGGCAAGAATATGGTGAAGATGAAGAAAAGTTGAACTCATCAGAACTTGTTAATGTTTTTCTTTTCTTGACAAGTTCTTTTGCTTTTCCCTCAAATAACTGATAAACATGATGATTCTGATATACAAAGATATAGATTGAAATGTCTCAAGAGGCAAAGAAGGTAAAACAATCGAAAAGGTAAAAAGAAGAAAATGGAAAGAAATGATTGGACCAACATGGCGGTTCCAGTATGGAAGAGGAAAAATTACTGAGAATCAACAGAAGATCTTGAAATCCATGAAAGTTCATATTTTCATCGTTCCTTGTTCTTGACTGATTTTTAAAGAAAATAAAAGTAATTGGAAAATGAATTTACAGAATAAAAATTTCCATCATAACTGTTTTGTTTTTAATAATTTGCAAACTTTTTATCAGTTTCGATGTTTTACTCTTTTCTTGATTTTTAGCGTCTAAATATTGGATAAAGTTTAGTCAAGTTTAAGGTAATAATCGTTATAATGAATAATATGGAAAGTTATTTTTAATGTTAGCTTTTTCCTTTTCTTTTCCTGATCTTTTTTCGCCATATTACAGGTAATAATAATCAATCAGTTTAATGTTGAACAGAAAATTGAAGAGTTTCAACTTCAATATTGCCAATCGAGAATCGAGTTGAAAATTTTTGCTAGTTATTAAAGTTTGCTTTTCAAATGAAAAGAAAAGATTTTTTGGTGAAATTTATCATTTTTAGCTCCATTTTTAGTGAAAACTTTTGCATTAAAAAGCTAATTTCAACTCATTTCTAGTATGATTAAATTGCTTTTGTTTGGATAATTTTATTCAATTTGAGATATGGAGAAAGAAGTTGCCAGCAGCAGCTTTGATTTTCGGTTTTGTGGAACCTAATTCAAAACCTGATTTACAAACCTTCAAGATTTTAAATGAGTTTATTCATCGAAATAATGCTCCTATGTATTTAGTTTGATCTGTTAAAAACTTCCGATTGCGGTACATTTAGTGGCACTACATTTTTTGTACAATAAATCTTGAAGGCAAAATTTTATGAAAGGCTATGAATTCAGCATATTATTAATACTTCAATTATAACAAAGTTTTCATGCTTCTATTTATCTAAGTTATTACCCTATTTGCATGAACAAAGCTATATCCTATGAGCCTTATCAACTCACCGTTCAGTATCTCATGGACGAAACATGCCAAATAACTTATATTTGATTTGTATTTTTTTAAGAATTAAAGAATGATTATCGGTGCGTAGTAAAGCTCAAGATGGTCCTTTGAAACTATAATAAACTGGCAATATGGCATACTCAATTAGCCATAGCCCTTCTTGATTCAACTTTCAGGTTACGTTTCAACTTTATATTCGAAACATGATTTGACCTTCAGAGGTCATTTGAAAGTCATATAAAGATTTTGGAGGATACAAGAGGAGGGCAATTCACAGTTTGAAAGATCTAACTTTAATTATTTACTTTAAACTTCCAGTTCAGCGATCGCTTATTTTTTTGGCACGCTTTGCAGTGACTTCAATATTAGCACAGGCGTAATATAAATAGTATCAATAGATGCTTGGATCAATTTTATGGAATTCTTGTCACATACAGCAGCTCTAAGATAACCGATGCTATGAGAAATATTCGCATCCAGGCAGAATGTTAGTAGGACCATGACATTTCCCCTGTAATCGTAAACTCATGTGGTCCTCCACACGTATAAGATTTATAGACATTGAGCCATTCTTTTCATGAGCTAATTTAGAAATTAGCAGAGACTTGACATTACGATAATTTTCGCTTGAGTCCGTGCGTTTTGGAGAAATGAAATAGTTATACGCGCACAAACATCGGACAATAAATCAGAAGTATTATATCGCCTTCGCAAATTTCAGCAAGCAGAATTGGTTGGTTTATTATTGGCGCTATAAATATAGGTTTTGTTTTGAAATGTTATTTTTTCGCTCCAAAAACTGCCTACTTAGTATGATGTTGAACGCCAATAACTTTGCAACCAAACATGCTATTGCCCTAGGAATCGAATATAGTGAGATCGGGCAACATTTTTTATGTTTAAAGGACAAGGTCATTCAAGGTCATTTTTCGGAAATCGCTGCTACTTATGTTAGAGGTCAATTCGAGGTCATAACATGATTTTTAAAGACTAAAAATCTTTTTGATAGAGTTCTAACACTCTGTAATGAACATTGCTTGAGTTATTGACATTTAAGTTGCATTTTTTAAACTGAAATTTATGATATAAAAGATGAAAAATCAATTTCGGTACTAATTAAGCC